CTGTGAGCTTTATAAAGATCTACAAACCCACTGTGACTGAAGTTATCCAAGTGCTTCCAAGAGTCAGGGCCAACAGCCAGAGTGCTGAACATGGACTAGTCTTAAAAGTCTCAGTTCTAAAGTTGTCAGTGCATTAATGCTCTGAATAGTTGCTCAAGGGGTAACCTGTTTTTGAAAATACCCAGAGGAAATGGCTACTTTATTTTCATATATGGTGAGAATATAACAAATAACTGTAGAATCTCCTAACAGAGATAACACAGAACGGTAATTTTCTTTGTCTGTGTAGAGGTTGGTTTTTGAGAATGCAGCTGAACCATTTGTTTTGCTGAAGAACCTTCTTTACAGCACAGCTGAGCTGCAGCACCAGTCCAGCAGCCCATAAAGGACATCCTACCTGATCCAAGGGCTGAAGTAACATTGGAGAGTGAACCACAAATCCAACTGCAGGAGCAAACCTTAAAATGAAGTTTCCAGTAGCTGATTTAACAGTTGTTTTGACTGCAGTAGATATCAGAGGTTATCTTACAAAATTCTTCCCTCTAGTGAAACAAAAAGTGAAACAGCCACGAGTTTGTCAGTTTGCAGGAGAGGAGGGACAGCACCGAGGTGGAAATGGCATCACTTCCAAACTGTACAGGGGAACCAGAGGGGCCTGTGCCACTCTGCACCAGGCAGAGCCTCCTCATTATCCACTACTGACAAAAGCAGTTGTGTCTGATCCTAAATACATCACTTTACAACAGAAAAACATCCTTTATAACATGGCTCACTCGCCCTGAGTGGAGGCTGCCACAGGAAGGTGAAGCAGAGGAAGCTACTCCATCAATAAATCCTGAGCTCTTGAAAGGATAAAACAATGTTTTTCTTCAGTTTTGTCTCACCTCTGCCAGGTTTAACCTGGGGACTTTTGTCCCTCTTATGTAGCTCACTGTAAATCTGACCAGATTCCTGTGGCACAGGCTGCAAGAACTACACGAGGTCAAATAGTAACCAGAGGGAAAAAACCAGACCCCAAACCACTGGCTAAAGCAAACCTGGCAGGTTATCATACATGCCTAGAGTCAATACTGAGTTTCCATATTTGGAAAAAAATAAAACAGGCAAGAATTGCTTGTTTGGCAATAACTACTGAAGTTTTTCCCTCCTTTGTGTCCAGCTCCTCCACACAACCCTGTCATGGGCTTTTAATTCACGCCAAGTTTTGTTCTGGAAAAATTCACACTACTGTAAACATCTGCCGATTAAACATCATGAAAACATAACCAGCAATATTCCTCACCTAAGCCTGAGCTCTCAGCTTTTCAGTTCAGCAGTTTGCTCTCCTATATGACATTTTGCTGCAGTAAAGGGTGAAGGTCCCTTTGAAGCCCTAAGGGCTCGTTAAAGGAGATCTGCAGGTTTTAATCAAAGCAGCAGCTCCTGCTCCTCAGCCCTGTGTGCAGAGAGAGGGGAAGGCACAGAGCTTTCCTGTGCACATCACCTCCCAAACCCAGCCATGCTGCACCTGCTACCAAGTCCTGGGAAAAGAAAAACAGATTAACTAAAAAGCAGTGGCAAAAAAACCCACCAGAAATAACTCTGATTTCCTGGTGTCATTTCCAGCCCAAACATTAATCGTATGTTTTCTACATTTAGGTTTCTAGGAGCATATGTTTTGTCTGCTGTGCTCATTTAACTAATAGAAGTTCTGTTGAGAAAATGTGGAAAAAAATTTGGCAGTAAAGTGATCTATATTTCACTTGCAACACATTATCAGCCTGCAGCTGAGGCTACAACAAGTTCAAGAACAGATGTTACAAAACTACACAATTATTGTGGGGTTTTGTTTGGGTGTTTGTGGGTTTTTTTGTTTTATTTTTGTTTTTCTCCCTTCCCCCCTTTTCTTTCAAATCCTACATTGGAACTTAGCTGGCAATTCAATGTAATAATGATGATACACTCAAAACCCTCCACCAATTCAGGGCTGGTTGGTGTCTTATAAAGAGAATTCTTCACCTGCTCAAAGAAAATATTTTCAGATGAAAGACTAATGAGTGGGGGGGAAGGTGTGGACACAACCTTTCAAAAGCGTTTTTCTTCAAAACTATAAAATACACAAACACACGAGCAAAAATATTTTCACAGAGTAGAAAGCATCACTTACCACACACACAGTTGGACAAACTGATAAATGATACTCAACACACGAGCCTAAATACACGCTGGGAAGATATTAAACTTTAATCAAATTACAGACTTTGAAATCTACCACCTTGTCTGTGTTAGATTTTTCAAATGTCTTGGGATTTGGTAGCCAATGCATTCAACCTTCATGCATTTAATGTACTCCTTAGGCCAGACAAGGCCTTAGAATCAATCCTCTTGGATTAGCTTTGCAGAGTATCATTCAGGAGTTTACACTGTCCCTCCTTTATGTTGTGACCTGTAGTGTTGTGATTAGGCTTCAGTCTTCACTACCCAAAGAGGTATTTGGGATACAAATTGGCTTAAAATACACTCAGTAACACGAGCTGTCAAACATTACAAAGTAAAATGTAGCTTTGGAGATACACCCCTAAATGATACTCAAAATGAGGCTAAGAAAAAGCTGACAGAATGTACTTCAAACACTGTATTTATTACAAAGGTGCATAGAGTTTATGCCATTTGGTTTGAATACTTATGTTTAACCTACAAACAACATACAAAGCGAGGTTACAGTATGTAACAAAAGCAACAATGATTATCTACTAAATTCAATACAATAAAATATTCTACTGTATTTAATTTCACAAAACATTTCTGAAACAAAGGCACTTACAGAATTAAAACCAAATTAAGATATACTCTTTCAACATTTAAAGTTTTAGTTCCATTCCCCCTCCCTACAGCACTGTGGATAACTAGTGATGTGAAGGCAACAGCTACTTGGAATGACACATCAGCAGTGCTTAAACTAAAAATGTATGGATCATCTCCTCCATTTTTTCTATAACCATCCCATTCCTTTACCTGTATAAAAACAAGCTTCAACAAGTTGCAGGGCAACAGGCAAGTCAAATTTGGTCCTACATCTTATTGTTAATGATGATAAATTCACTAACAATAAGAAAAGATCTGGTTAACTGCTCCAATTGTGAACTGGATAATTCTCTCTTTTTCCAATGAGTTTTGTAACTGAGTTAGTAACACTGCTGCTAAAGTAGTTCCTTGTGCATTAATGATTCATCTCTTCACTTGTCCATAGTTATCATTAGCACTTGTTCACTGAAGAAGTGTCAATCTTGAGGCTCCTTAACCCTTCCCCTCATCTCCTCCCACCCCTACACACACAGGGGTGGCAATTCAGGACAATCTATTTGGTCTGTGCAACTTCTACACCAAAACTTCACATTTGGGAACCCCTGTTATTGCTGCCACTTCACTTTCTGACTGCCTCCCCAAGGGATGATGACTGAGCCAACCTGTCACGAAACGGCAGATTTCCCTTTCATTACCCAAACATACCATTACCAAGACTGCCACCAACTGTTCCATTTGTCAGAGCAGATGGAGGAAAGAAGAGCAGGGCACAGGAACAACCTCATCAAGCCCCACACTGGGATGCTCTGCCTGTGCTCTGAGAGCTGCTCTCCCTGGCCAGGCTCCATCTAAAGGTGCTGGATTAGTCTCTGCTCTCCTTCTAAGTGAATAAACACAAGGGATCTACAGCAAGGGACTTATTTCTGCAGCCACTCAGTGCCCTCCCACACAGAAACATTCCAGGTTTCTAAGGCAACACTTCACCCTCCACACAGGACACACGATCCAGTGCTGGTTGTCTAACAGTGTAATGAAGCATTGCCTGATTTCTCAGCTGACAAGGCAGGAAAGAGGAGGAACACAGACACAGGATACATGGATACATGCTCTGTGAGTGCCCCTTGGCACCATTTCATGCTATTAACTTCAACACTCAGAGAGGTGTAACACAGGAGCACAGGTTGGCATGAATTCTGATGCTAAACACTTTCTACAAGTTTCTTCTGAAATGCCCTGAAAACCTTCTTTAAAAAAAAATTTAAAAAAAATTCAGAATAATCCAAAAATAGACTCGACAATCAGGAAGAAAAACAAGGCTGCCTTTGGCAGCAGCAATTTCCACCCACTATGAGGTAAAATAATGCCACCAAACAATAATATACCTCCAAATGTAAAATCACGGGACAAATGGCTCAGTGGCCTCTCCAAGAAAACTAAAATCAGTGTAAAAGATATGTTAAAATTATGCATACAACTAACTAGATAGCTCTGTGAGGATTAAAAACAAATTGTATATCAATGTCAAAAGGACAGAATTGTTGAGGACAGTGGAAAAAAAAACAAAAAAACACCTTCTTTGTTTGAGCAATACAAAATTTATAGAGCTAAAAGCCCCAGCAGTGGTAATAGTCACGAGGATGTCTCAAGATGTTTCATGACTGAAAGCACTACCTTCTGAAAAATATATTACCTGGCTTTGACCAAATCCCTGCTTTCCCTGACTTCTCATCTTCTGTTCAGCTTCATGGGAATGTTGAAGACAACAGGAAATTTTAATCCCTGCTTCGTGTTGGGCTGGGATTTCTTATCCCTCCCTGCATTTTGTTATTCAAATGCAGACTGAGTTTATAAAGGTCTAGAATTCTTAGGTTCCTGCCATATACAGTTCCCACTAGAGACAGTGGAAAACCCTAAGCATTTGAAAAACCCAATCTACTGCTGACATCCCACCTCTCCTGTAAAACAAATACTGGCAGGTACTTCTGCTTAACGTGTAGTTAAATTGCTAATTTTTCTTCCAAACTCATCACAAGAAATGACTGAAGTAAGCTCATCCAACAATGCCTCAACAAGAAATACCTGTCCAATAATTTTTATGAGGAATTTTCAAGTTTTCAGCTTTTGAGATATTTGGTCTGTTAATGGCAGAGAGTTTGGATTTGTTGTTAATTCCTAGCTCTAACACCCAGTGGAGGCACAGTTTTAAAGCCTTCAAATTGGGAAAGAAAACAAGGACATCACCAACTTGTGCTATTTAGAGCTAGTCCAGAGACAATTAAACACGGTTTGCTACCCCCTACTGAAGGCAAATGTGTTGCAAAAAAGGAAAATTCCCTTTTGAATGGTAAATGAAATGTATTAAATGGCAGCTTACCTAACAATAGTAGCTTCAAAACAGGCAGAACATATGTAACATGTATCAGGTAGTTTCTTAGAGGTTAAGTTTTTATGTTTTAATACTGTGCAAAAGATTGCTACAGCTTTGGGTGTTTGACAATGCTCATATTAGACCAATCCTTTCAAAATTATTGCACAGCAAATGTTATTGTGGTTCTGTATTTCTGAAGTACTCCTTCTTCATGCTTCTCATTGTATTTAGAGCAAAATCTCTTTTTGTATTTGCTTGAGGTATAAATGAACAACTTCTGCAAGAAAAATACTCCTTCCTTGCAGCATTAAACATACTGAATTACTTTTTACTTTATTTAGACAAAAGATTGCTGTCTTCAAGAAAAATATACTAATGGTGCAGGGTGTAAACAGAACAAATTATATTTTATAAAGTTTCATATGCAGAAGCACAGTAGAAGAGCTTTTCAATAGGTGGGTTTCTGAGGATCCATGTAAGCAGGGTTGTAAGGGGGCTGGCTTGGGTAAGGGGCTCCAGCACCAGCTGCAAAAGCAAAACACAAAGAAAAAATAGATTTATAAAATGAGCATTCTGAATTCTACATATAAAATGGTAACTTCTGGTTTCAGCACATGATTAAGAGGTTCAACTTATCCAGCATCTTAGTTGGACTTGAGAACAGCTTGTGCTCACTCACAGAGCATCTGCATTTCAGAAGTGAAATCATAAAAACCTTCATTCTTGTGGGATTTGGGGGTTTTTTTGATGCTAAGTATACATGTGAATTATGGCAGCCACAAGCTCATGGTTTGCCTTCAGGGTAGAACCTAGTTCAAAAAAAAAAAAAAAAAAAGGGAACAGATCTGGTCCAAAAGAGAGCCAGTGGAAGTCAGGGTTGCACAAACAACAGGATATACCTGACAGTGTGCCAAGAAAAAAAATAAACCTCTGGGCAAAAGAAAAAGGACTAGAGAAATCAAATTTTAGGATTCCTTCAGGGAAAATGCTTTCCTCCTAAGTGTCACAGAGCTAATTAAAAAAGTAAAAGAGAAAAAAGTATCCCACCACTACTGAGCCATTGAAGAGTTTAACTTATACACTCGATGTATAACCCTCGGAAGGCAGCCTTGTTCTCCAGTATTGTGAGACAAGCTGCTCTCAAGTGGCACCTTCATTTTCAGGGCTGGCAAACAGCACTAGTTCAAGTAATGCAGCAGCTGATCAGATCCCTGGAAAGTGTAAGTGTTGTTATCTCCTGCTGATCTTGTAAAGTGAGTGGGTTTGGCTCCTGTTTGGCAGAGCAGAGGTATTCTCTCCCCAGCGTGTGACCTAATTAAGAGCCTGCTCCTTGGTTAATAGACAGGAGAAATGAAGGAAGGAACTCTCACGTTAGGACATTCTCAGCTGGCAATATGGAAAGTGCTTTGGTATGCTCCCAGAAATAAAAACACAACTGTTCTAAGAACTAACAGACCAGCAACAGTTTGAGAAACCAGAGGGTAGAAGTAAAGTGACTCGTTTATTGGCTCCCTCACATGAAAAAGATGAAGTCAAAGCACTTTGGCATAATCCCATAAAACCCACAGCCTCTTTGGCATTTATAACAGAAAAACAGACTCAACAGGCCTGCCAGGTCAGTGGTTCCACATGTGGGGCTGGTCTGCACATTATTAACGTACAATTCCTAACTGGTTTGCAAATGCTTCAGACCATGAAAAGCCATTCTATATTTGAGTTGTCCTGAAAGTTACTTTCCAAGGGCATTATCTACTGATCAGGACTATACTTCGCTTGTTACTTAGAAGAACAAATAATGTGGTTTGTAAGAGGGCTTGAAGATCCTAGGACAGGTCACAGCCTAGTTTTGGCTCCTCTCAACAGCCGGAAGCCAATTGTTCAGAGAACAACTGTTACCAGCAGAAGTGGGAATTAGTCATTGCAACAATAAGGCTGCGTGAACACAATGCTGTGAAAGAAAGAAAGCTGAAGAAAAAAAGATTCTGGTAATTCTAACTGCTGGTTGGCAACAAACTGGTCTGAAGTTGATCAGACTTGGTATTCTCTAAACATAGTGACAAACTCCTAAGGAATGCCATCTGTATATAGATTGAAACACCTCACAGAATGGTTTGGATGGGAAGGGACCTCAGAGATCATTCAGTTCCAACCCCCTGCCATGGGCAGGGACACCTTCCATTAGCCCAGGTTGCTCAGAGCTTCATCCAACCTGGCCTTGGACACTTCCAGGGATGGGACAGCCACAGCTTCTCTGGGCAACCTGTGCCAGGGCCTCATCACCCTCACAGGGAAGAATTTTTTCCTTATATCTAATCTAAACCTACTCTCTTTTACTTTGAATCCATCCCCCCTTGTCCTGTCACTGTATGCTCTTACAGAACAGAGCTAGCAGATATTAGAGAGGGTCTGCAGAATCACCCAACTCCTACATATATCTGTTAATTGGGCTTTGATTTAACAGGAAATGTCAGCTGCACTAGTAAAACATTCTACTGGCTCCACTGACAGTCCCACACACCACTTTGCCAGTACAGCTCCAGCTCACACCTCCTCTGGCAACGCTTAACATAGAAACGGTGACGAAATTTCCACAAGGGTGAATTACACCATCCACCATAAGTTGAGTTTTACATCATTTGCTTACACTTATGTTCATAAAGTCATAGAAAGCAAATTATGTAAATAACACAAAATTGGCTCCAGAGCAAGTGTCCCTTTGGCTGTTTAAGAGCTGAAGCAGCTCTCAGTGCTGCCTTACCTGCCACTGTCTCATGATAGGCCGGCGGTCCCGAGGGCTGCATGGGGTAAGGGGGAGGATACTGTGCAGGGTACGGTGCTACCGGCATTCCCGGCTGGGGCTGGATGGCCACGGGCTGGTATCCTTGATATGGAGCTGCTGGATAGCTGGGTGGCACCGCTGGTTGTTGGGGATAAGGAGCGTGGACCACTGTAGTGGTAGCAGTGGTGGTCACTACAGCTACACACAAGGAAAAGAACACGGTTAGTGCTGGTGGTCCCAGGCGAGCTCCTTCAACAGCAAACCACAGGAACATTAAAAAAAAACAACCAAACAAAAAACATTCACCCTCAAGGTCAATTCCTCACTTCAAACTCTGAGTAATTTCATTCTCGAAGTCCCACCATGGATTTATAATCGTGTGCCTCTAACTTTCCTTTCCACTGATCTCGGTGCTGATGAGAGCCTTCACGTGCTGGGAGAGCAGCCAACTCACCTCCTGGTTCCTCAACCACCAAGAGCAAAACACTTTTTTCTTGGACTCCTCTAAAACCAGGAACTCAACCCTACAGCCAAGTTATCTATCATTTGGTGTAAGACTGGAAAAACTGCTTGTTTCAAAATGTTATCTGCTTTTAAGGACTAAGGTGATAAATATCTCCTTTATCAGGTAAGGAGCTTCCTACCATGACTGCCCAAGGGAGCTTCCTTTTATGTACAACTAATCAATCCATGTATTAGTACCTCTTTCTCTATGTAACAGTCAGAAAGGCAAATACATATTTAATTCATTGATTTTTGTAGGAGCTGATGTTGGATTATTGGTTCATATCTCTTATTGGAATAGGGAGAATTAATACTTTCTAATAAACTGCAATAATTTGGTTTTTTGAGACCTCCCTCATCTTTTTGCTGCAATTACAGACTTTGCTCAAGATTGCACTGTTGCAGCCCTGAGGCTCTTGTTTATTTTTCAGGTATATTTTTAAGAGACAGGGAAAAATTTTAAAAGTTATCCTACCCCTGTTTACCTAAACAAAAAAAACATCCCAAAACAACTCCCAAACCCCCCACGCTGGGGGGGTGGTGGGGAAGGAGAACTTCTAAATGCTCAGGAAATATTCCAAAACATCTCTCTGCAGCTTCACATTCTGAAGTAGCCTCTTTTTAATGTTTAGGTATTGCAACATCTGAGCAGAGAGGTAAGGCAAGATAATTTTTACCTTTTGTAGGAACACTATTTCCTGGGGGCAGGAAAAGAAAAAGTCTTGTTCCAAGACGTGAAAAAGAAAATACAGAGGTACTCACGCCGTGGTCTCCGACATGCTTTGTAGAGACAGCAACAGGAGCAGGTGAGGCACAGAATAATAGTGATGACAATCACTGCACAAACAGTAACTCCAATCGCAATAAGGGTTCCAAAACTGCAACAGAGAGACCATCAGAACTGATAAGAGTCACTCCTTAACCAAATCTCCTGTAGCAAACACGTTGCTCCACCTCCAATCTCTTACTGCTTCGTGCATTGGAAAAAGAAACAATGGTGCAGGGCAGTGCTGCAGGTCAGGTCTGCTGAGGCAGGGGAAGATGACCAACCCCTACCAGGGGGTCTTTGGTACCTCTCATTTAATTGTGACTGTGATTCTTGTTGTTTTAGTGCAACTGTGTGTCCCTTCATGTATTCCAAAAGCTTACAGCAGTAAGGTTTCAAAACCACGAGGTTCCACGACTTGATTTCCCAAGCACTGCTTGCCTGCTCTGAGCACACGGGCAGGCAGGCCCGGAAACAAAGCACACCGGGCTTTGGGGTGACAGCAAGTTCTTCTCACATTCCTTAGACCTCCCAGTCCCCAGCTCGAGACAATCTCAGCACTCAACAAACAGACTCTTGGCAGGTTCCTTGGCATTTATAAACAGTTGTTTTAGGAGCCACGTTTCACACAGTTTGGAAGATCTGAAATTCTGCAAACTTTACTGCCACGGCAAGTATGTCAGGCTACATTATGGGGGACAGAAACACCGCCTAGAACTCCAAAACTTGGTATGGCAAGGCCAAAGATTACACCTGCTTTGAGCTCTCTGATGAGCATCAAATGATGGAGGCAGACAAACAGTCATCTGTGGAAGCTTTACAAGTTCTGTTTACCACACAGGAGAGAAAAGGTATCACAGTAAAGCCCAGTGACAATTCCCTTCTAAGTGTTAATGGCAATGATGTGTTTCTTACTGTCTGAAATCAATAAAGTCTTCCTCCCATGGAAGCCAAAGTCTCCAGCATTCTTATTTCTTAAAAAAAAAAAAAAAAGTGCACCATGCATCAGTTTTGGGAACAATTGCAGGAAATCAGTTTTAACGAACAACAACCTCTAAAATAACAAGCAGAGAGCTGGTTTTGTATCCATCCTGTTTTCGCTTCTTGGTAAAAATTTTGGCTACAGAGCTCTAAGTTTTTTCCTGCTCAGTTTCCTGTTAACAGCTTTAAACAAAACCACACGTCTCCAGAACCTCCAGCAATTTTCACTTGGCTGCCAAACAGCCACCAAATGGGAAAATCACTTTTGAGTATCAGTGACACTGGAAGGTTAAATAACTGACAAAAAAAAAAAAAGCAAAATGCTCTATCCCTAGCCCAAATTTGGAAGACCTCACCTCGTTCTCCTAGAGCAACTTAACCCTTAGTAAGCTGAGCACTGACTGAGCATGAGCATCGAAAAATAAACCAGGTTCAGTTTAAAATGCATTCTTTCCCCTCAAGAGAGGCTCCATCAGTTTTATACTATTTCTGCAACAACTAGAAGAAAAAACTCGGGTCAAATCTCTTTCACAAATACGAGCAAGAATTTTATCTAACTGTAACTCCATCTAATTTGTGAAGCACTGAATACAACACTGTGGATTGAGTCACGGAGTACTAAATATGATAGAGTGGATTGTCTGCAGTCACTGCAATTCAGCATTTACATGTAAAACAGGAAGCAGGAACTGCTGCAGCCTCCTGAAGTTGCAGAAGCCATGTCAGAAACGCTGCCAGGAAAGAAAACAGACCATTGCAACATAGCTGCAGGATGCAAAGATGCAACCAAGTGTCGAGATACACGTGCATGTTTTGCCACATTTATCTGCACCTTTAAAGAAGTTTTTTCATATGCTGACCTGCAAATCCAGATGCTTTCCTAACCACTCAGCTTTTAAGTGTTCTCCCCATCCTCATGAGCATTAGTTTCATTTGAGCACAATGAGTTCACAGCCAGCTCATCTCCATCAAAAAAATGCCATTTCTTTAAAGCCAAGTATAAAAGGAAGACACAGGTGCAATTTCAAGGGAAGGAGAGAAGTGTGTGTGATGGATTTGTACATTAACCTTAGCCAACCTGATTGCAGTGTTCACAATAAACAGCATGAATGCCTGTGACAAACTACAGACACCTCTGGAAACTGCATGACAAGAAACATCAATTGCAGTTACTGATATTTGTGGAGCAGCCAAGTTTTCTTTCCTCTTGTTCCCACTTCTGCATCAGCCCTGAGGGAGCTCTCTCACTAGGGAAGTTGACATTATTTCCACTACACACGGTGTAGCAACATTAGAAGAGACAAAGGAAAAGAGTCCTCTAGGTTCTTCCTTCTTTCCTCAGTAAAGAAGGAGAAAAAAAAACCAACACCACCTTTTTGCTAGTGAGCTCTGCCAAGGAAAGAAATTCTTGTGTCAAGGGAAGAGATTAGGACTGACTAAAATTCTTCACTTTTACACACAAAGAAATTCTTTGAACTTCAGCAGAGGCTGGGCAGAATCAAACATACCAAGGAGATAAAGTGGAGCAACATTTACTCATCCTAAATTACCCAGCAGAGCAGGAAACTGGCAGAGCCCCCTTATCTCTCATGACCAAATCCAGTTCTGATATGAGCACAAGCCCATCTGCAGCCAAGCTGGCCATGAACAGATAAAAATACCAGCCATGGGCTCCATTTATTTATTTTTAATAAAGTTTTCTGTTCAATGAAGCACATCTCATATTTACTACCTAGAATAAGGAATGTAATAAAAGCAAAGCTAAAAAAAAAAACCAACCCCAAAACACCATGTCTATATTTTCACCAAGTTGTTAGGGACACCCTGTGCCTTTGCATCACTTGTCTGTGTCTTTGTTAAATGACAAAACCACAGCACTGTGACATTTTGCATCCATCTTTTGAAGAGCTCACTATATTTAAAGTACAGGTGTGTCATGTGTGTACACTGAGTGCGGTTCTGTGTTTGTGTGTGTAAACACTGATTCAGTTCTAGCCACTGAAACGCTGTGTGATTGCTGCAGACCATAATTACAAGCCTTCAGAAACAGCCCAGTGGGTGAAATAACAGAGGGGTTAGTTCTTTTCAGAGTTTCCTAAGCAGTGTAACAACTGATTACTGGCAGACGTTTTTATCACCTACTTCACAGCAGATAATTTTCCTGCCAGTGCTTGGGCTCACACAGACTAAGGTCTTGGAACAGCAGAAGGTAGCAAAACATTGACACAAAACAAAACTGTAAGTGCTATGAACTTGTTAAGTCATGTCATCAACACTCTCAACACTGAAGCGCTTCAAAAATAATTTTTTTTCTAACTATTTCTATTTACAATCAAAACTAGCAATACCCTTTTGGAATTTCTGCAAGGTCAGGCAGAATCCTAGTGTAATAATGTCTTTTTACTGTATAAGGAGTACTGTCCTGAGAACTTCTTGAGCATTTAAGGGATATCCCACTGGTAAAACTATTGAAATAAAAGTGCAGGAAGGCTACCACTAAGAGAAGATGTTACTCAAGTGAGGCCACAGTGATCCTCAGCATATTTAGTGAATCATCTGTGCTTCAGGAGACAAGACATTCTGGATATGTATAAAAACTCTCTTGCAGAGAGCTTATACTCCTTTCTTAAAACAAAACTAATCCTTAATTTAATTGCTTTCATCTGATGAATCTGCCTAAAGGATTCTGAAATTATTTGAAAAAAATTACACTCGCGTTAAATGATAATTTAATTACCAACTGTTAGCATTGTACACAGATGACAAAGAACAGACACGAGGGACTGTAGCTCACAGATTCTTCCCTTGAATAGTTAAACTGAGAGAGAAAATAAAGCCAACCAAAACTGAAAGCACACCTTCCCCCCTGCATTCTGCAAACAAACGTCAGAGAGCAGAAATCAGGGTGGCCACGGCACCAGATCAGAATGCTCTGGTGAACAGAGGTTTCCAGGCACCCACATTATATATACCATAGTCTCTAAATAAAGCACACACAGTTATAAACAGCTTGAGCTCAGTCCCTGCCATTTCCTGCCTCTTTCTCTTCGCATAAAAGGGAACTTTTGCCAGTGATTTTGTAAAAAAACAAAATCAAACCTAATAGCAGTTTTACTGCAGCAACGATAAACTGGACTTCTCATAAAATGTATGGGAAAGTAAATATGGAGAGACAATGCCCTGCCCTTTCCTACCCCCACCTCTCTCCTGCCTTGCCCTCCTCCACTCCTGCCCCTATTCTCTCACCTTTGGAAAGCACTGAAGTGTAGTGAGAATGTCTCACAGCCTCGCCTTACCTTTAAGGCTGGCTAATTATTCAAAATATCCATCGGCTCATACAAAGGGAGTTCAGTGATTAGTGCCTTTTGTTGCTGAATGAGATGTAATGGACATATTAAAAATGTGAGAATCAAGCCCAGGGTCTAAGTAGTACAATTTGTAGAAGCTAATTCTCAAGGCAGTTGTTCATGTTGGAGATTTCTACCTTCAATACTGTCAAGTGGAAAAAAAATTGTAAAATACTTCGAGGGTATTTTAAAATATCCAAGTTTCAATTCCAGCAATGTATTTTTAACTCTCCTAAGTAGTTTGAATCACTTAAGTCAGCGACATTTTCTGAGTCCTGATGTAAAGAAAGTTTTTGCATATCTATGCATTGCAGTGTGTCCCATTGACATGGGATTTTGTCTTCAAAAAGAGAAAATATCCCAATGAACAATGAGACCACCTAGTTCTGAAAAATTAGTTAAAGCAGCCTATTTATTTCACAAGGTTTAGTCTATTCCAAGATTTGTTCCATGCTTCAAGAAACATGTTGGCAGGGTCCTTTTCAAAAGCACTGCTGCTTTTGAAAACAAACATTTACAAATACTGAGTTATGGCTGCAGCATGGGGTGGTCTGGAAAGACTTCAATAGATAATTTAGGCCATTCCTGAAAGTAAAAAAAAAAAACAAACAAAAACTGAGTATATGCATATCATTCTTTACTGCTCCAGAAAAGGATACAGTTCCCAGAAATGTGATAGGATGGTAAATGTCCAGGCTTGCTTTGACTGAGGTGCCGGGCATGACCAAACAAGTCCCCAGAGAAGTTTACCCAAGTCCAACATTTTAGTCACAGCCATACAATG